AAGCAGAAGACCCTCAGAGCTGAGTCTACAAGCAGAAGACCCTCAGAGCTGAGTCTACAAGCAGAAGATCCTCAGAGCTGAGTCTACAAGCATTCTCTCATGAAGGGGAGAAGAGCTCACCAGGCCACGAGACCCCTCCCCGATGGTTAAAGGCTCCTGGAGGAAGGATCTGGGGCATTTGTCTTTGGTGGTATGTGTCCCTGTCAATAATCCCAATTAATCTCGTCGGTTTATCAAGCTAGACTTGCTGTTTTGGTCTGCTGTCAGTGAGGGGACATTAGTCCATGTCTCCTCAAGGACAAGCTAAAGCGACATTCTGTCAAGTATTCTGTCACAGTGACATAGAGCAGCTATTACAGATTGCATGTGATAAGCTGCTTAAAAGGTTCCATGGATGTAACAGTCTGCACGCCGTTAAGAGAAAATACCCCACCCCAGGTCCTTACGGGTGAGAGATGAACTGACCCCCGACAGAATTTTTGTTGCTTTTCTTTTACTCTAAGTTCTAAAATGAAATGTTTATGAGAGACTATGTCCTATAACTAGGGCTACATTTCTTTAACAGAAAAGTGGCGTTTTAAAATGTAGTGTTTGGTTACTTATCACTATATGAAAAATGCTTTTTAGAAATGAAGCAAGAGTGTCTTCCAATATGGGTGAAATGAAGCTAGCTGTGGGTTCTGTCTCAATGAAACAACCTTCATTTCACCCATGTTGGAATAATGACAACGCGGAAACATTTCAAGTTCTGATTTCTTCTGAAGATAAAAGTTCAATGACTTTAAAAATGCAACTGTATAGCATTTAACTACCGATAAGCGTTCATGTGTTACTTCAATTCAAAAAGAACACTGCCCAGCCTTTCCTGACTCTTGTTTCTGTTGGTTTGTTTTGAGACAAGTTTTCATGTAGCTGAGCCTGTTCTCAAAGCTGACCCTGACCCTCCTGCCTTCACCCCCTGGGTGCAGGGATTACAGGAATGTGGCACCATGCCCAACTTATCAGGTTGAATACTTTTTTGTTTTTGGTTTTGGTTTTTTGAGGCAGGGTGTCTCTGTGTAGTTTTGGTGCCTGTCCTGGATCTCACCCTGTAGACCAGGCTGGCCTCAAACTCACAGACATCTGCCTGGCTCTGGGATTAAAGGCGTGCACCACCACCGCCCGGCCAGGTTTAATTCCTAACCAAAGGAACCTCCTTGGTTTTCTGGACACGATTTATAGATTACAGCTTATGATATAAATATGGTGTTTCTTTGTTTTTAGAAGCATAAGATTTCTCTAAAATGATTTATTTTTGTATACAACGAAAATATTTTGTACATATCAAAGACTCTAAGGTCAACAGCTGTCAACGCAAAAAAAAAGTGTGAAAAGCTATAATCACTGTTGAATTCAACCTTAATTTATTTACATCATTTCTTAAACTAGTGCCTGCATCGAAATAAAAAACTACTAAACAGCCTTTATCTGTTGACACTGAGAGTATGACTGGATCATCTACAGAATCTTTGTTATACTAAGGTCATTGGAAGAAGGTGAAAAATACATTGTTAAGAAATGAACTAAACAAGCTGGGCGCCCAGCACTCGGGAGGCAGAGCCAGGCAGATCTCTGTGAGTTCAAGGCCAGCCTGTTCTACAGAGCAAGATCCAGGACAAATACCAAAACTACACAGAGAAACCCAGTTTCGAAAAAAACAGAAAAAAGAGATGACCTAAACAAAAATGAACCATATTCTAATTGTGTCACACTAATGGTTTACAACTAAACCATTCGTGCTGTGGAAATGGCTTAGGTAAAGCGCCTGGCACCAGCCTGATGACTTACACATGGATCTCTAGTACCCACATAAAAAAGCCAGGGGCAGCAGTGCGTGTCTGTAACCCCAGGATGGGAGGGCACAGGGACAGATGGATTCTGGGAGCACACTGACCAGACAGCCTATCTGAATGGATAAGCTCCAGGTATTGAAAGACTCAATCTAAGGAAAAAACATGTGTGGAGAACCCCAGGAAAGCAGCTGACATTACCCCCTGCTTCACATGCAAATGCACACAGCTATATGAACACAAACATACACACACCTCACCCCCTGGAAAATAAAGCAAAGTGATAGATATTCAGAGATCCTAGCAGAGAATATAATAATATGGGGGGCTAGGAAGATGTTTCAGTGAGCATAAATTTTGCTGTGTATGTGCTTGTATATAAGCATGTGTGTGATTGCAGATATATACGGTGTGTGTGTGTGTGTGTGTGTGTGTGTGTGTGTGTGTGTGTGTGGTGGTGGTGGTTAGAAGACAACTTAGGGTGTTGGTCCTTGCCATCCATCTTGTTTGAGGCAGTTTCTCGGTGTTTTGACACATACAGCAGGCTAGCTGACCCATGAGCTTCTGGGGTTTCTCCTGTCACTACCCACCATAAGAACACGGATTATAGATGCAAGCTACTGTGCATGACTGTACATGACTTCTGAGGATCTGAACTCTGGTCCTTATGTGGAGTGGCACATGTTTTACCCACTGAGCCATGTCCCTAGCCCTGGACCTGAGTTCAGATCCTCAGCATCCATGTAAAAAGACAGGCAGGTCAGTGCTCATCTGTAATCCCAGCACTGGGAGGTGGCACGGGAAGTTCCCTGGACCTCACTGGGCAGCTTAGTTCATCAGTGAGCACCAGCCTCAGTGAAAGGCCCTGTCTCCTTAAAACAAAATAGGAGAGCAATAAAGGAAGTCACCCGGCATCAGCATCCAGCCTCTACACATGCTTGTGCAGATGTACACATGTGCATGTGCTTACACACAAAATAAAGACTATGATAATAACCCAATAACATGATTTAAATCCCTTTTAAGTTATCGTACTTATAATTTTTCATATTAGCTGTGGGGTTATGTTACAAGGAAATTACATTTAAAACATTTTAAATTTATTTCATCACTTTTTTTTACACAAAGAGAAAAAAGAATGTAAGGGGAAAAAAATCTAAGATTAGAAAACAAAAAAAACTATACATCTCTCAAATCCATTTATTTTTTGTGGGCCCAGAGTGAAAACAAATTTAGAATTTTATATAAGTCTGAGTGTGGTGACACACATCTGTAAACCCAGCTGGGGAGGTTGGGTCAGGAGGATTAGGAGTTCAAAGTCAGCCTGGGCTACATAGTGACCTCAAGGCTAGCCTGGGCACAAGAGACTCAGTTGCAAAAAACTTTGATGAAAGATTATTATGATAATACACTATGACTAGAACAGTGACTGAATTTGTATCACAACTGTTAACTGTTAAGGAGCCAAAGATGTGCTTAGCTTGGTGTTATGATAAATAAACAATGTTATCTCTATTCTAGCTTGTCTGATACTGTGTGTAGTCAGAAAGATTTCCTGTGTCCTGCCTGGTCCTATAGGCTAAAGAATGGATGCCCCAACATTGCAGAAGGGTCAGGAGAGAGATGCCAGCAAGCCACCCAAGGAACAACATGTAATAGGACGCAGGTAAAGCCATAGAACATATGGTGATACATAGATTAATAGTCATGGGCTAATTTAAGATATAAGAGCTAGATAACAAGAAGTCTGCCATGGCCATAGTTTAAAGCCTGTATGTGTTTACTTGGGTCTGAGTGGCTGCAGGACCAGGCGGGACACAGGAAAACTTTCTGACTACATTTGTATACAATTAGTGTGTGTGATTACGAACTGTGACTCCTACAAGAAGTCACATCCTGGAGAATATTTCAATAAAACAATATTATGTTTTCAAGCAAAAAGAAAAAGCAAAGGAGAAAGAGAAAAACTGGAAATCTCAAGAATCTGAAGGCTGGTTGTTCCTACTTCATTCCCGACATCAGGCCCACACTGTGCTGCATATGGACCACAGGCCGTTACAAAGAAGAATCTGAAGGCTAATTACCACCAAGCTCTTGGATGATCTCTGAACACGTTTCCCAGGAACCTTACCCTTTGTTCCTTTTCCTTCTCTTCTTCCATGGTCTGGAAGGCGAGGACATGCGCTTCTTTGAGGGACTTGTGTCTCTGCTGATGCTGCTCCTCCAGCTCCTCCAGCTCCTGCGTGAGTCGCTGGCGCTCCTGTGTGAACTGAGCTTGCAGCTGCTGCAGAGATGTCTGTGACTGGCAAAGCTGCAGCTCCAGGTTCTGCTTGAGCAGGGAGATCTACGCCAGGAAGACACACAGCAGAGACTAAACGCAAGGTGTGCTTTACAGACTACCGACCCACAGGGAGAGAGCAGGCCAAATAGATCTTATGAAACAGCCTTGTTGAGTTAAAATGGTCTACAATAAAAACCTAATGCAAAACTTTATTATCGGATGCGTGTATGGTGTGTGCATGTGGCGGTCACAGGCAAGCAGCATGGATTCGGTTCTCTGCTTCTACCTCTATGTGGGTTCTGGGAACTGAACTCAAGTTGACAGGCTTGATTGAAGACACTTTATGTGCTGAGCCATCTCTCCAGCCCCCTAATCTAATCTTGCGTTATCACTAGTTTAAGTCTGTTTTCAGAAGGTACCTTGAAAATGGCCCAATTCTATTGCTTATAAAATAATACAGAATTTGTAGAGCATATCTAGAAATCCAGTGTACATCTTTGCTGCAATACATTTATCATTTATATAACTGGAAACAGGAGGCAACAAACACTGTTGTAAGTTGAAGTCCCTCTGAAGACTGTGGGTTTGGAATGGAGGGCCTCCTTCTCCGCCAGTAGTATCTATTCTCACCACGGTGTGGGAATTGGTGTTTCCACACACCTTCACTTAGAGTACTTCTGAAATACAGGGAAGAGCAGTATTTGTTAGCTGAGATTATTTGAGGACTGAAGACCTGCTCTTTTGAACGACTTGTTGGTTTGTAATTAATTAATTTTCAGCTGAGATCACTTGAGGACAGAAGACCTGCTCCTTTGAAGGATTTGTCAGCTTATAATTTATGTATGTATGTACGTATGTATGTATGTATGTATGTATGTATTTTTAGCTGAGATTATCTAAGGACTGAAGACCTGCTCTTTCAAAAGATTTGTCAGGTTATTTATTTATTTATTTATTTGATGTGCATGTGTTTATGTTTATGTATACCATGTTTGTGAGGGTGCCCACAGAGGCTGGGAGAGGGCATCTGATCCTATCCCCTGGAGTTGAGGATATAGGCAGTTGTAGGCTACCAGACATGACTGCTGAGCTCCAAATCCAGAAGAGGAGTAAGCGCCCTTTAACCACTGAAGTGGAAAGTGATTTGTCATCCTTTTGTCAACCAAAAACATCAGCCTAAATATGTCAAGCATCATCTCTGGCTGTTTTAATTAAAATGAAGTCTTTCCTAAGAAGAAAAAGCATGCGGGTATAGATAAGTGTGTGTGTTATGTACATATAAATACATGTAGCTGGTGAAACAGTTTATTTTACCTATTTCCAATCTTATCCACAGGTTATTCTAACCTGAAACAGTGTAGGTCAACCTTACTCTGAAAGAAGTCTTAAGAGAAGCGCAACTTAGAGTCCAGATAAAAAGTCCTAAAATGAGCCTTGTAAACAACTTAATAAAAAGTTGTAAAATGTGCCTTGTAAACAACTTAAGACATCATTCACTCATACCTAAGCAAACAGTCCCTGTATCCTCCAAAGCCAACGGAGGAGGGCACCCTACACTGAGCAGGAGCCCTTTCTCATTTTATTGGCTACAATTTTCCTTTGATGTGTTGGTGGCAGAAGCAGGCCACTTAACTTGTCTCACAAGGAAAGCACGGGAGAAGGAGGCTAGACTGGGGACTCACCGACAATGCCAAGCAAAACAAGAGGGGAGAATCACTCACTGGCAAACACGGAAGGCTAAAAGCAGCCGGAAGAAGTCTCTGCAGGGAGCTTGGCTACAACATTAGCTATACAGAAGGGTTTGGGACAAAGTTACAAAGTTACAAAGCAGGATTAGTTCGAAGAGTCAGTGCATGTTTCAAAGTTACAAACCCGGATTAGACGTGTCAGTGCATGTCGTCAAGGAAATAGCCAAGCTCTGATGAGAAATGATGCAGCTGACACAGACATTTGATCTGCCATTATGTACTTTCAAAAGAGCTATTTTACCTGCTGAAACTTTATGAATGATTACTTTTTATACAATGGTATGTATCAGAGACTTTACAGATGTGGGGGCCAAGGGAGAAACTGTAAATATGATTCCAGGCAACTCAGCTTTTCACAAGTCTTCTGAGACAGGGTCTTGCTCTATAGCCAAGACTAGCCTGGAACTTTCGGTAATCCACCTGAGTTCAGAGATTGTGGGTGTGAACAAAACACATGGCTAACTTCATGAAAAAGGCACAGCAACTGATAAAGTCATGATGTGGAACAGGATTATAGTTTAGTGCTCACAGTTTTAGGCAAGGAACATCAGGATAAAATAAGTACTAAGGAGAATCCAGAAGGAAAAGGGAAGTCATAAAAGGCAACAGTAGTAATCAGGACTGAGAACACTGATCTGTAATTGGTAGTCATTCTCTGCCCAGTCAGCAGGGTTGTGAGAGAGAAAGGCACCTATCCACTCTCTTACAGGTTCAGTACTAGTCTCAGCATCAGGATGGGTCTCATGGCGACTACCTTATGTTTCTCTGGTGTTAACTTGTTAGACACATATGGGAAATGTAAGGACAGTGTGTGTCACATGTACAATTTTAACTCATATTCTCAAAGCTCTTCCTTGGCACCTGACCAAGTGGGAACTAAAATCTAACTAGCATTTTCCTTTCTAAGCTGTATGCCCTGGCCCAGCTTGGGTTCATTCAGAAAGAGTACACATGAAGTTTTTCTTTGCCCACAGATACCATTGGGGCTGTCAGTGGCCCCAGATTGTCCTCTCTATATTAGTGGTTCTCAGCCTTCCTAATATTGCTACCCTTTATTTAATAAGTTTCTCATGTTGTGGTGACCCCGACCATAAAATTATTTTTGTTGTTACTTCATAACTGTTATGCTATGAATCATAATGTAAATATCTGATATGCAACTCCTGTGGGGGGTCTGGACCCACAGGCTGAGAACTGCTGCTCTAAATGTTTAAGTTAGTAAGAAGTCACCCATTCACTTGGCCTTGCACGTGTTTTATTTTTCTAACACCTGCTTTAAATGTTTATTGCCTCCCGTGGTGTTAACTGTATCACAACTGCACCAAATTGTATTAATCTGTCTATACATCAACGTATATTTGAACTATTTAAATGTGAAGCTTATGAGGAAATAACATTAAAAAAAAGAATTGTCACAGTAATATACATTTAAAATATAAGTTTATAATTTTTTTCCAGCTTAAATATTTTACAGTATAATATACTTTACCTTAAGAGAACTCCAAAACATAATGTTCTGACTTAGAATGTATGATTAAGATTTGAATCTACACTCTAGAAAGTAACGGACTCTAAATGTAGAAAGCACCATGCAGTTTAGTAGTCAAATATACTTGTTGTGTATTCTTAACTTTGGAGGCACACAGACTCCAAAGTCTTTGCATTCATGCTCAATGCAGTGATGTGAGTTATGTGCAGAAAAGCCTTATCATGCAACGTAGCACTGCAAGAGAACACATTAGTAGGGCAGCAGGAAGTCAGTCAGCCTTCATTTAGCGGGAAAATTGCATACCATGAACAGGACAGATCATGAGCAAAGCAGTGTAATATGAACTAATGTTTTAGAGACATCATTTAAGCACCTGAGCTTAATATAGTTTATAAATACTTACTGATATCAAGTGGCATTAATTCAAAATAAAACAAGGATGGGGGTCTACATGAAAGGTTTGGACAACCTTGATCGATAAAGGGTAGAGAATATCTAGAAAGACTTGTTGAATAGTGAATGAGAAATAGCAGTTGCTTTGAACTGTATACTATATTCAAATTAAGTACTGTACATATGGTATTTGTGTCTTTGTGTGTCATAAACTTTTAGACATTTATCCCTTTACCTTTTTTATGTGTATGGGTGTTCTGCCTGCATATTATGTCTGTATATCACATGATGTAATGTCGCAAAGGCCAGAGAAGTCCCCCAGAACTGGAATTACAGATGGTTGTGAGCTGCCATGTGGGTGCTAGGAACTGAACCCAGGTCCTCTGGAAGAACAGCCAGGGATCTTAGCTGCTAAGCTATCTTGCCTATTTTAATCCATTTAAAAAATATGAGAACTTTTATTTCAGAAAAGTAAATCCTTATTTTAAAAATTCTTACCAGTCTATGTGGGTATAATTAAGTAACAGGCTCTCTCTAGCTTGCAACAATTTAGCAATACCTTTTGAAAATAAAAGTTTACTCTCTTTAAAAAAATATAGCATTAAAGACAGAATTTTGTAGAAATGTCAAAAACACATTAAAATATATGCTTTTTTTTTTTTTTTTTTTTTTTTTAATATAGGAGAAGTCATCTTGCCTCTCTGTGGAGCCCTTCATAAAGGCCCTGGGTCTTTACCACATGTGTGTTGACGCTGCTCAACATAAACACTGGAACTAATCTAGTCATTTAGTAACTTATTAGTATTCAAATGTATGTCGATTGTATCACTGTCTCTAAAAGTAAACAGTTCAAATTGAGGGCACCAGATATGACAAGACACCAACCCGGCACAACATTAACCTACCAACTTTTCTTGTTTTTGTTTTTTTATGTGATACTGGGTTTTCTTTCCTCCTTCAGTCTTATTACCCAAATTAAGGAACACACAAAGCATACAAACAATTTGTCCTCAAGAGAAAACCTGTTGCGAGATAGTAAATGACCCTCAAACCTAGCTGTATATTTCAGTAATCTCTCCTGGGGCGCTGAGATTCTGGCTCAGCACATCGGACTTGGGTCCAGGCAGACCAACATATTTGTTTCTAGTTACCCAAGTGAAAAGTGTGCACTGTATGTGTGTGGTACACACTCTAGAACACATCAAATAAAGAGTCTCAGGCTAGAGATGTAGCTGAATGGTATAGAGCTTGATCTGTGTCTGTCTCAATATAATGACCTATTTTGTTTTGTAGAAAAGTATGTTAAGTATAAGTGAATAGTTTTCATCAAATATAGGTAATTTATCTAATAAAATACTGGTTAATATTTTATATACTAAAATTTCTAGGTAGACACAGGACATACTTAAACAACAACTTAGTATTTAATGTTTGAAGCTGTTGATGGGGACACATATCCCAGTGTGTCAGAAGGAAAAGAGAACACCACTTTGGATATGAAGTCATGAAGGTGTACCCCAACTTGTGGGTATTGACAAAGTGGTATTCACAGGGCCAGCTGTGAGTAGCCTCCTCAAAACAGTTGCACTCTGGGTTTCATTTGTTGATGCTAATGACTTTTTCTCTTTGGAGAGAATAGTGAATTTACATTTATATTTTTTTCTTCCCTCCAAAATGGCATTCATAAGGTATACATGGTATTCAGATTCATGACTCGGTATTTTTTGTTTTGTTGGTCTGTAGGTTATGAACCAGGGTCTTGCCATATCACCTAGGCTGGTCTTGGACTTACAGATACAGGACTGACATACACAGAATTTCTCTCCCCAGTCTTTTTTATGTTGAAAATTGTTATTATTATAACAGGGTCTCCTATATCTCGGGCGATGGCCTGGAACTCCCGATCTTTCTGGCTCCACTCTCAAGTGCTGGGATTACAGGCATGCCGGCGACCTTCCCACAGCAGTCGCTGTTCCCTGCCCTTCCCGCTTTCTTAGATGTCAGTTAGCAGAGCCGTCAGAGTCTGCTGGGGTTAAATCATGTCACTCTCTTCAAGAACGCAGGCCTTTCTTTTACCACCAATACACAAGTAGGACTGTTCAAAGTCAGATCAGCCTAATTGTAAGGTACAAAGTCTGATACTTTCAAACATTGAAGGCAACTCTAAAAAACGGCTAACTGAGGCCTAGCAGAGTACAATAAGAATGATTGTTAGTATGTCAATGACTTACATACCTTTTCATGAACAATGATGGAAGGGGCTGAGACATTTTAATTCTTTTTTTAAGATTACTAATTTGCTATTACTAAAGAATACATGGAGAAGGGAAAGTGATAAAATTATATTTCAGTTAAAAACATATTTTAAAAAAAGAATATATTTCAGGTCATGAAATGATGGTCACTTTGTAAAACTTTTGTTTGGCGATTCCATTCCAAGAAAGAGTTTTCCTGGAAGATCCTAAACTAAGCTTAGCAAACTAGACAGCATCTATAAGATGCATTAACAATCACTTGATTTTTTTTTTTTTAAGGATGACCTACAGAGAAGCCAAGTCTTGCTAAGAAAGGAACTATTACTTGGGAAGCTGGACCAATGTATGGTGGGTGAGGAATGCCAGCCTGCCCAATGCTGTATGTTCGCAGTTCAGTTTGGCTCAGGATGATGAGGGTGAAAGGTGACCACATGACAACTATGACATCACATTGGGGTTTTATTAAATGTGATTTCATTGTGTTAATAACATCTAACGCTACTTTTTTCTTAGAGAATGTACAAAGATGTTCCCATCCAGTACTGATAGACACCTAAATAATGTACTTTTACTTATGACATTAAGTCAATGAACTGGTTTTTATTTAACTGGTACCTTTTTAATCACTAAGGGGAATAATTATGTCATCATAGATATTCTAAGGTACAATGTGATTCATTTAGTAAACAATCACATTTGGGTTATTATTTCTATCATTCAATAAATACGTCAAAAAAAATTGGATTGGTATTATTAGGCCCAAAACTGAAACGATCAAGTCAAAATTCTTATTCCATTGTATGACATTTTATTGTTAACAAGAATATCTTAATGTAGCCTTGTTTATCAAAATTGAGATAAACATATTTGCTATATACTTTAAAACATATTAAGAAATTTTATGCTAATCATATTTATTTTCCAACTGCCTTTTTTTTTTTCTTTTTTTTTTTTGGATTTCTCTGCATAGTTTTGGTGCCTGTCCTGGATCTCACAATGTATACCAGGCTGGCCTCAAACTCACAGAGATCCACCTGGCTCTGCCTCCCAAGTGCTGGGATTAAAGGCGTGCGCCACCACCGCCTGGCTTCCAATTGCTTTTTATGTTGAAAGAAGAGTTGACTATGAAAAGCAAGTAAAGTTTTCACAGGACACACTGAGATTTGAACTTTGATCTGCCTGGGGAAGCACAGGCAGGCGACACTCTGTTTCTAAGTACACTGGAGGACAGCTGTATCACACGGGACACTCCAGGGAGTGGGTGTCTCTCAGGACAGCAGCAGAACCCGGCTGTAGTATTTTCATTTTCTACTACCCGAGAGAAGAGAAACCCACCAGCAGGCCTTTTCCAGTGGAAGTGTGGGGATCTTTCCTGAGATTATCAAGGAACTTATTCAAAGGCATTCAGCTCTATAGCCTTATCATGAAAGACAAGGTAGTAATGGGTTTGATGCGAAGATAAATCTCATTCTTTTTCTTCATATATAAATCTTTACTGAGTAGAAACATAGGGAATATTATTTTGAAGCATAATTTCTGCATGTGTGTCCACATACAAGTAAAAAACAACACTTTTGCCAATTCTTAGGGAAGGGATTTACATTATTTTGCTTTTCATGTGTTAAAAATTAGGACATTAAAACATATTTAAATTTTATGAACTTTCACAAATACTTAATCCTTTTAAGTAAAGTCTATTGATACTTTTTCTAAAAATAAACTTTTAACTCAAGAAAAATATTTTGCATTTATTCCCATGTTATGATACTCAACTAGCAAATATTTTTCAAGAATATTACCATGCCTTTCAAGGTTAATATTTAAATAATAAATTTTATGTATAAGGTGAAAATCTAGCTTGGTTTCATTATAAAATACACTTAATGAGACAAGATGGTAGATGTATGCACATATAACACACAAATGAATGGCTGAAGGTTAGATATTATTAGTACCCATAATGCAAAAAAAATCTTATTGTGTGCCAAAGTATATTTTTGTATAAGTTAAAGCTTCAAAGCAGTGCTGTTATGCACAATCAAAAGTGCAACATGCCTTGTGCACAAATTGTAAGTGTCGCTCACTTACATTGTTGATAGATTTATGCAAAGCCTCACCCAGAGAGTGCCGCTATGAAAAAAGATCACAGGAGAAAGGGGAACATTCAGAAACCGACAAAGAAAGATTAAAAAACGGAGTGTGAAACATACAACAGTAATTATAACATGCTCACAAAAACCAGTTCTGAGAAGAAATTTGATTTACAAGAATTTTAAGACACAGTGTAAATGATCCGCACACAGTCCCTAAAATTCTCTGATGGACCCGTGGGCCAGTCTACTTACCTATACAGGATACTTAAGGTTAGAACATGAGAACCGAGTCCAGTGTAAAAGAAGATGGTTACAGAAATGCACAGAGAGCTAAGCTGTTCTAAAGTCTTCCAGACAGCTGCAACCTAACTGTTCATGTGCTGCACACAAATGGCTGTAGGGCATAGGTTTCTCCAGGGAGCAGATGAGAACAACAAAACCACCTGGATGTTTTTGAATCACTACTGCCTTGAGATAATCATTGGAAATTGGGAGTACAGGGAAAAGATGAGGTGATTTTTACATCTTTTAAATTCTCTTTTCTAACATGAACTTTATAGACTACAATGTTGTTTTTTAATGTCAAAAGGTGACTATGAGGCTAGAGATCTGGCTCAGAGGGTAAGCACACTTGCTGCTTTTACAGAGGACCCAGGTTCAGTTCCCAAAGCTCACATAGTGGTTTACAACCATCTGTAACTCCAATTCCAGGGAACCTGATGCTCACCCTCTTTGGGACTCTAATGGCAGAAGCCCACACATGGTATACATACATACATGCCAAGCAAAATACTCATACACAGAAAACAACATATTTTCACAAGGTTGACTATGTCTGGAAGACTAAGATATTCCAGAACGTGGTTTATTAGACTTGAATGGGGAAAGATACCACACCTATGGATTTGACATTGCAGGTCACTGACATACGGAGCTATGCACATCACAAGACAAACTGGGATCTTCAAAAACCATGGACTGGATGTTTGTGTCCCCAACCCACAAACTCCTCTGTTGACACCCCGACATTCAATGGCATGGTATTAGAAGGTAGAAACTTGGGCAGGGATTAAAGTTTTACCCCCTAGGTCATAGGAGCCTGAGTGGGTACTGTCCTTACAAAAGTACCCCAGAGACCTTTCTCATACCTTCCACTATGTGAGAGCACAGGCAGATGGCGCTGTCTACAAACCAAGAAGCTAGCCCCTTGAAGTTGAACTTTCCAGCTTTCAGAGCTGTGAGAAATGTTGATGTTCAAAAGCTAACATTTACGGCATTACATCAGTATTACCCAGGCTACGCCAGGGCTACTGGTGCCAGAAAGTTAGTATGAATGGACCTAGCTGTAGGGCTCAGAAAGGAAAAGGCACAGGTGCAGGGAAGTGTCAATCAGTCTAGAGAACACTCAAGGAAGGCTGAGGAAATAAAAGGTTGGTAGACATATGGATAGTAAAAGCCATCTAGATAAGGTCTCAGGTGGATAAGAAGATCACAGTGCTGAGAACTGAAGAAAAGGTCATCCTTTTCACAAAGGAGTCATGATCTTTGCAGACAATTGCTTCTGTCCTTATTAGAGAAAAATAGAATTTGATCAAAGAAACTGGAGAAGAACGAGAAGGAGGAGGAGAAAAGAAATAAAGAAATAAAGGAGGAAGGAAAGGTGGGAGGGAAGGAAGGGTGGAGGGAGGGAAGGATGGAGGGATGGAGGGAGGGAGGGATGGAGAGAGGGAGGGAGGGAGGGAGAAGGAAGGGTGTCCCTGAATCTGAATCATCTGTCCATCTTTGGTTTCTCAAGGAGAAACTCTGCGCCTCACTGCTAGCAGCCAGGACTCCTCCTAAAGCTGGTGGTGGAGTTCCAAAGCTTTAGGGTCAGGGCGGCTAACCCACTGTCTCCCAGTCTTTGGAAGCTGGGACTTCAGCTGCCAGGGCACTAGAGGGCAGAGGAGTCAAGAGGCGGCTCTCAAGTCTTGGATCTCACTGTACGTGCCTTGCAGTTTGGAATCATTCTTTTCTTTCCTCCTTCTCACTTTGGGAAATGGAAAGCCTATCTTCTTCCTTTGCCATCCTTGTATGTGGGATGCATAAAACTTAGTGCTATGGTTTAGATGGTAAATGTCTCCTGAAAACCCATGCGATAATGACTAGGCTCTTAGGGTGGTGCTCCTGGGAGGTGGTGGAGCTTTTGAGAGATGTGGCCCAGTACAGAGACTTATATCCCCGGGGACAAGCCTGTGAAGGTGAGAGGATAGGACTCCAACTCCTTCCTCATTTCCTTTCTGTTTCCTGGCCCTGGAGTTTTCTCTCTGACATGCTTTCAACCACTGACATTCTGGTACCACACCAGAGGCCTTACAAGTAATGGGTCTATGCAACCATACGCTGAAATCTCTAAAACTGTGAGTCAAAATGGACTTTACACTTTATCATGATGTTGGATATTTTGTTATAGTGTGAGAAAGCTGACTAATCAGGTCCATAGATTTATGGCAGGAGAGCAATTTGCTTCAGGATCTGTCAAGATAGAACCTAACTCCAGTCTGATTTGGATGAGACTTCAGTTTTTGACTTTAGGGTTGATGCTGGAATGAGATGGAATTTCGGGAGGATGTTGGGATATAATGAGTATATTCTCCATGTGAGAACAGCATGAATACTGGGAATTCTAACCTTTCATAGAGTAGTATTAGGAAATGGAGCCTTTGGTCTAGCCTTTAGGTCAGAGGATGCTGCCTTGTAAATGGGACCCCAGAGAGCTCCCTTGGTCCTTCAACTATGTGAGGATTCAGTGAGAGGAAAGGCTCACTAGTGGGCTCTGGCTAGGCCATTGCTGTAGACACCTTAAATTTTGGACTTCCTGGTCTTCGAAGCTACCAGAAACCAACCTGTTCTCTATTAAGGATGTGGTCTGTGGTCATCTGTTACTAATACAAGTTAAACTGTAAACAAGTGTCCACCTAAGAATACTGTACAGACTAAGAGCTTCTATGAAAAATATCTGTCAAGCATTCTACATAAGATCCATCCCAACAAAACCGATGCCCTACAGAGCCATTGTTTTCAAGGGTCTTAAGTTTCTTTGTAAGTTTTGAGGGGGAGTGAGCCATCACCAGCTCACGGAGTGGATTCAGAGGCTTCAGTGTTAAAAGCCTACTAAATGCGTAACGTGTTTCAAAAATTTCATTCTTTTGTTTTGTTTGGAATTTGGCGGCCCAGGATAGTCTTGAACTCACAGCACTATTTCCACCTCAGCATCTGGAGTGCTGGGCTGTGGTGAGAGCATTGTGCCTGCGGGATTTCTACTCCCAGAGGAGGAGTGTAAATCAGACTTTCAGATGATTGAGGGAAAGTGAAAACAATCTTTTTAATACTTCATTTAATTAGAAATTTAGACCACTGTATATAAAAGGCAATGCTCTCAGGAATTGATTCCTGGTTCTTGTTTTTTTTTTTTAATAACTTCTTTTGAACGTCCTATTTATTTATTTTGGGAGGACAAGGGGGCATGGCACCACAGCACTCTGGCAGAAGTCAGAGGACAACCTGCAGGATTCCGTTACCTATCTTCTACCACCATGTGAGTAATAGCATCAAACCCAGGTCCTCAAGTTTGGCATCAGGCACCTTTACCTACTGGGCCATCCCACCAGTCGCCATTCTTCTGAAATTTGGTTTATTCACTGTTAAAGCAGGGCAAGGCTTTCCTGTGCGTAATTAGAAACACGTTGTTATGTACATTCTGAAACCCCCTCACTTGTAGCCTTTTAAGGAGAGAGACCCTGGGTAATGATTAATCACAACAGTTGACTGGACCGAGAGATGCCTGGGAGAACAAAAGCACACTGCTGGGTGTGTCTATGAGGGCATTTTTACAAACAACCGAGTTTACAGGGGCTCCAATACAATCAATAGCTAAATCTATCCATGGGCTGAGATGTTCGTAGAAAAACAGGAGGAAGAAAACTCTGGAAGGTGGGGACTAGTTGGGGAAGTACTCAGAGGTACACTACGCCTTGAACAGTGTACATCTTGCCTCTCTCTACTTCATGGCTGCCTTATGCCCACGCCAACATAATATTCCACCCTGCAGCATCCCCAAAGTAATGGACCCAGCTGACCTTGAACAAAACCCTCTCAAACTGTGTGGCAAAATAAACCTTTCCTCCTTCAAGGTTTTGTTGTTGCTGCTTACTTTTGTTGGCGGGGTTTTGTTTTGGTAGGTGTGTGTGTGTGGATGTGCTCATGCCAACAGAGGTCAGAGGAGAACACCAGGTGTCCAGCTCTGTCATCCCCGGGCCTGCTTGCTTGGGGCGAGGTCTCCCACTGACCCTGGAGCTAAGATGACAGCGAGCGAGCCCTAGTCATCTGTCTGTCTGCAGCCCTCACATGGCCGTGATTACGGACAAAGACGATGACCACATTCTGGGTTTGATGTGGGTCCTGGGGATCTGAACTCAGGTCCCCATGCTTGCATAATAAGCCCTCTCACCCAGAGTCATCTCCCCAGACTTCATTTTTAAAAAGTGATTTTTAAACTTAGCATCTAAAATAACAGGTTTCATTATGCCATTTTCATGTATCTGTACAATACTGCATGGTTCTGATCCACTCCCCTCCTGTCTCCCTCCCTCCCTCTGCCCACTTCTTTTGTGGTCCCTGGTCCCTTTTCTTCCCTACATTGTGCCTTTCTGCTTTCACTTCACATGTATTCTAGCACACTCTATTGTTGCTACTCCATTCTCTCTAGACCTCTTCATCCCTCCTCATGATCGTCTTGCCAGTTCATCACACAGACACATGCACGCACAGGCACCCTAAAATCTGGGTTCTGCACATGTCAGAAAATGTGCTATTTGTCTTTCTGACTCTGGCTAATTACAGTGGATTCCAGTTCTAGCCATTCCATCCACATTATCTGAGAGATGAATTTAGATCATGCCTATAATCCATAGGTATGTGTCTTAATTTCTCAGCTAATGTCGTAAATAAAGATAAATAAATGAATCATCAGTTTGGAACCACAATAAAATCTGCCTTAAGAAGGACATAAATGAATATATTTGTATAGTGATACTTTAGGATTAAAAACAGAGAATGTGGTCAAGTGTTTTCTTTATAACTTTTTAGATATCATTGCAGAATGAGAACCCAGTTGTTTGATTTGCAAATTCTGATATATACAATATTCCAGAAGTGCAGCCTGCACTGGGCAATGCTGCAACCCTTTAAACCTGGCCTGCTAGCACACACCTGTAGGCCTGGACACTTGGGAGTCTGAGGGAGAAGGAGAACTTGAGCCCAGAGTTCAGATCAACCTGGGCAACACAGTGAGACCCTGTACCACCACCACCATCACCATCACCACCACCATCACTATCACTACCTCCACCATCTCCACGTCCACAATCACCATCACTACCACCTCCACCATCACCACCTCCACCATCACCATCTCCACCATCACCATCTCCACCATCACTACCACCATCACCATCTCCACCATCACCACCACCACCATCATCTCCACCATCACCACCACCACCATCACCACTATCATCATCATCATCATCACCATGATCATCACCGTCATCAACAAGTTAAAATATAGTCATGGGATATAAAGAGGGGTCAATGTCTTAGGAATAAGTACTGAAGAAACACAAAGAAGAAAGGATGAAGAAAAGAAAGGTGGGTGAGAGGAGGACAGAAAGGTAGAACGGAAGAAGGATGACCTCTGACAACTTACTACATGAGATTACAAAATAGCAAAACAGGGCCAGCAAGATGGTTCAACAGGTAAAGGTGTCTGCCACCGAGTCTGATGACATGCGTTCAGTCCCTGGAATCCACGTGGTGCAAGGAGGGAACTGAGTTCTGAAAGCTGTCCTCTGACCTCCACACATGCACAATGCACATGGGTGTATGCACACAAATAAATAGCATGTAATAGAAAAGAATAAAAATAAATTTAACTAAAAATGATGGTGATATTGCTTTGTAATACAAGCTCAGTCCCCAAAATGCCTGTGTTCAATACTTTCTGGCTGAAAAATGTCAGAAAGACTTTAGGGACAGTTTCCATTTTATTATGTAATTGAACTGACAACATCTTGCTGGGTGCAAAGCATGATAGAAGGATGGGGTAATTTACTTAAGAAAATCTGCCCTTTTTGGTCCCTAAATAAGAATGTAAAAAAAGGTATACAGAAGGTCACTAGTAAGCTGTGTAAATGTGATGCCAACCTCTAGTAAGAGTTGTTTGCTTGTTCTTATTTCAAGTTTCAAATGATTTGACCTCACATACACACACACACACACACACACACACACACACACACACACACAGTCTACCTTTTTAGAGCTTTATTATAAATTATAGAAACCAGACATAAATAGGCAGGCCTCAAAGCATTCCTAAGAGGGCAAAATGTTTCTACATATATAACAAATTACCTTACAGAAAGCCTGTTTTGAATTCTATTCTGAAATTCTTCACCATCATAAACAGAAAGAAAAAGATTAATATATCAGTGTATTTTCAGCACTAAATTAGGAGTTGCTTCATGCCCAAGTTCTACCCTTGCTTGGTGATATACACAGTAAAGTCTATTTAATTACAGAGTTTGCCATCTGTCCTTGTTTGGTGATGCACACAGTCAGTCTATTTAATTACTGGTTTACCAGGAGAGTACAAAAGGTCCACGAAGTCGGAGGTTGTCTAAATAAGTGGAATGTGCAAACTATTTTAATTAGTTATAAATGTCTTGGAAATAAGATAGATAGATCTAGAAACACCACTTTTTGTTTAGGCTATACTCTTCCAGTACTTAAGGCATAAATTCACAAGAGAAACAAATCGCTCACTTGGGTAAATGTTTGTAGGAAATCAGGACACTGCTAATGAACATTTTCTGTTGCCCAGATGCCAACTTAGGGCTAGAAGCAAAATGACTTTACATTTTCAAAAACTAGCCAACCTTCCCATGGAAAGTCTATGTGTTCTGCTCAAATATAAAACTAAAAAATGATGAAATTTTCTTAGAATTTAGGATCACATACGCAACACATTGACTGAGCACAACTATGTTTCATATGAACATGTCTGTGTGGTTTTTAAACATTTAAAATGTCTAAGTTTGCCCCATGGAAAACAAAATACAGTGAGTTGACATGCAGTAGGTTGTGTTTGTCGAACCGGAGAGTTCCAAGGAGCGGAATGTCCCCGGGTGCAGACTACACTCTACCTGGTTTAAAAGGTCTTCCACCTTCTTCTGCCATGAGTCCCTGGCGGCGTTTTTCTCTCGCTCTTTCAGCTGCAACAGTTGAGACATCGCGGACTTTTTATCCTCTTCGTGTTGAAGCCTTAACTCTTGGCGAAGTTTAGAACACTCTTGCCTATAATAAAACGGAGGCATTTGCTTTGGAAAGAGAGTCGTCTCCCTCAGTGAACGTTCTCTGGTGATTCACAGGTTTTCTAAAAGCTCATTTAATTCGCACGTCTGTGAGTCTGTGTCAGCAGGCTAACTTTTAGGAAACTGGTAGCTTAACCAAGACCACTTATCCATCTACCATTGGCAGAACATTCATGAGAACAAATGAGCCTTCTAATTTCAAGTTAGTTCTCTGCATTTATATATATTCAAGAAAAATAAATTTAAAGAGGAATGTGAACTCAAACAGAAAAAAAAAAAACCACCTCTAAGTTCTCTGCATTTAATCATGAGAAAAAATAACTTAAAACCCCATTAGCACATCTTTAATAAGGAGCCTACAACAGGAACACTTCCTGTTCCTCTGTACCAGGAAGACCGCACTGCAAACCCAGTGTACCTAAGATTTTCAGTCCACTTTATCTCTAGATCATGGGCCATCCTGTCCGCCTTCAGCTTCTCTTCTTCCTTCATGGAAGCAAGGGTTTCTTCATGCTGGTGCCTCTCTTGTTCTAGCTCAGCCTGAGGACCAGAAACACAAGCCCGGGTACTGTTATCACAGAACGGCATACTAATACAGAACGTGCAAACCCTTACAGCAGACATTGATAATGCTAACTAGGAGAATTAGTCAAGATATTTCAACAAAACACATGAAACAATTCTATATTTTAATTGTTCTTTCCTTCATTTTTTTAAAAAAAAAATCAAATATGAAATGGTTTAAAGTTACTATATTAAAGCTTTTTTAAAATCACGAACATGTATCATACAGCCATGTTCCTCAAATTAATTCATATTCAATTTAAAATCAGGCCGTTTGTCCAAAGCCTAATCATTACATCTGTATACCATCAATATGATAAAAGGAATTCTGAGGAATTCAAGTTGACTGGATTTTTCCTTATGTAACTTGAAGTCACAGGCCCATGTGTTATGATAATGACACAGTACGCTAGAAATCCTTGCAGATTAGCATAAATCAAGTGATTCCCTGGAGCTGGTGGCTAGAGGTAATCTGGACAAAACCTGCCAACTACAGACGACTGTCAGTGCTGTGGCTGCTCAAGGGTACGAGGCAAAAAGAAGGCGGCAGTCAGGCCTTTGATCACCATGATGGACATTTCTAGATAGCTCTCTGGCTGACAGCACAGGATAGAGCAGTTTGTTGTATTCATATTAATGGTAAAAAAAAGAAGTCACTATTGAAATTCCCATTCAATACGGTTCACTTGTCTAACAAAAGGTAAATACTAAAAATTGAACCCAGGCACCTGTTCTAGAATACTATTCATCTTCTAGGAACCATTTTTTTTTCCAAAACAAGTAGCATGCAATAGAGTAGAATTTAACTGTTTCTTATTTAAGGAAATTCTGCATTAAGATTTATTTTTAATTATGTGTATGTGCACATGAATGCAGATACCCTCAGAGGAACTGGATCCCCCCTGAAGCTAGAGTTACAGGATGAAATATACTAAAGTCAGAAATGGGGCTGGGCGGTGGTGGCACACGCCTTTAATCCCAGAACTCAGGAAGTAGCCAGGCGGATCTCTGTGAGTTCGAGGCCAGCCTGGGCTATCAAGTGAGTTCCAGGAAGGGTGCAAAGCTACGTAGAGAAACCCTATATCAAAAAACCAAAAAAAGAAAGAAAGAAATGTATACCAAGGTGAGGTACCATATAAACACACACACACACACACACACACACACACACACACACACACACCCCTCCCTCCATGTGCAACTTTCAACTAAATGGATTTACCAACTTAAAATACCTTCTTCCTTTTACTTTTGCCATTATAAAAAAAAAATGCCTCTTAATATGAATTAGCCATTCCATTCAGCCTTATGTGAAAAATTGCTATCACTGATATTATAGGCAATGTTTGGCATCACATACATTTAAATATATTGCATAATACAGTAACTCTAAATAGACTTATTCTTTGTCATATTAGCACTATTATATCATATAGCCACTAGAGAAAGGTAAGCAGAAGCCAACTATTTATGTTGTCACAGATTTCAAAAATAAAATGCAATTGATATTCAAAATGCACTCAGTTATTCCCTAGGTAAAACATGAATAGAATCATATATACACAGCATAGGAAGTGCAACAAGTGTATACATACTTTAAGTGTCACCAATTCTAAACTCAAAGCTAATATTGTTACTAAAACTACCAAATGAGTGTTTGTTGAGCAATGTACTGTGCACAGCTTATCGCTTTTAATTAGTGTAACTGTGCTATGAAAAGTATTATTATGCTGCTCTCTGCTTTATTAAAGTGTCAAGGAGGAAAATGCATCTCTGTCCCAAATGATGCAGTAAGTGGTGGATACAGAATTCAACCAGGACCAGCCCTGCCTGACTATGGAGCCCACTCTCCAGATCACCACCAACCAAGGAGGATATGAAGAATCCTTGTCTGTCGTCTGCCTAGTTTTACAGGTTCTGAAACTTTGCTATAGTTCCCAAGGATCGGAGGGGAAAGGTCGGGCCTTCTGAGACTCTAGTTTCAGAAGAGAACTCTTGTTTGCTGTATATGAAAGCTCCAGCTTCTACTGGGAAAAGAATTTGCACATACTAATTATCCTGGATTTAAACATGTTCTGTAAAAAGCTTTCCTGAAATCTCAGCCCTTACACTCAGTCTGTCTCAAGATACAACCTTATTTGGAAACAGCACCCATGCAGTTTTATTTACTCGACATGAAGCCATATGGGAGCACCTGAACCCTTAATCCAATATGACTAGCACACTTGTAAGATGATAATGTGGAGACTAAAATGATGTGATTAAATGCAAAACCATTTCTGGGGCTAAAGTAAGCCGCAAAAAGGGGAAAGGTTCCCTCTTAGAGACACAGAATTCATCTTAGACTTCTAGCTCTAGAACCAAGAGATGACCCATGTCAGCTGTGCTCAGGTCACAGCATTTGTGTTACTTTCAAATGGGATTCCTAGAAACTAATGCACTAGTAACATACAACGATGCTTACATAGGCTTTAAGCAAAGTGGTCAAGTTCTATTTTCATATTCAGACATTTAGATTACAGTAGAAATAAGCAATTACCTCAACATTTAAGAGGGCGTCCTTGGTCTCCTTCAGCTTGCCTTTTGTCAGGTCTAGTTCACTCTGAAGCCTCACTTGGGAGTCCTGAAGACTAGCAATGAGTCCTTCGGCAGATCCAAGACCTTGTTCACTTTTCCTTACCAGATCTTGGAGGCGGCCAATCTGTGAGTGAACAGAGCATTTTTAATGTACCATACAGTGGCAGAGCAGTACCAGCTCATGGATTGAGAGTTTTGTGTTATTGTTGACTTAACTGAATGGATCCCTGTTTCATGAATTTGGAAGAAGCACTTAGCCATGATAATCTTTACTATTTGCTATTTTTTTAAATACTATTTTTTTCCATGACTACACTTCCCCCTTTCCAGAACCATAATGCAAGGACATGGACACAACTTCCCATGGGCTCTTGGTGTAAAGAAAATTCCTGGTTATGTCAGATAATAAGATACCTATGAAAAGAAACTGATGCAAGATGAAGATTAAAGATAAAAAATAAACTGTTTGAAAGCTTTCTTTAAAATTAACCATTTCTATATCAAGTCAAGTCGCCATGCTATTTAGAAAGGCAGTGCATTTAGGTCAATACTGGGAAGCTCTTAAGTATATCTTACAGAAACAACTGTTTTTTGTGTTGCCATATAGAAGTCGCCTCGGGAAAGAACCTTTGAGTTGGAACTAGAAACAAATGACAATTTGTTGACTGGGATTACAGAAACCCTTTAATTAGAAGGGCCAAAATCATAGAAGGAAATACTTTAAGAAAATGCTATGAAGTCAAAACGCATTTCAAAAGAACATGGACAAGATTTCTTTTAAAAATACATGCATATTTTGCTGGCAAATATTTTCTTACAACTATACATTTCACAAAGGAAAATATGAAAACTGTCCTTCAGCGCCCTGTGACACACACTCCTGTTTAGGCACACAGCCTCCCTGTTCTTTCGGTGCAGGAATCTCTATGTGTGTATGAAAAATTCATCTGGATGTGGTAGTGTGCGAGCTTGTGAGCTTGTTAGTGTCTATAAATGGTCAGCAACTTTGTAAAATGATTTAAGAACTTCCCCCCTTTTCTGTGTTCTAACATATTCATAGCCAAAGAATTAAAAATTTTAGCAAAACTTCATCCATTAAATTCTCTGAACCTAATGCCTGTCTAGACACACGGTGGGCTATTATTTTCTTTTGTGCTTATTACTGGCCTGGTAAGTTGTTTAAATTCTTTGAGTCATTTTAAAAATATGTATTGTCATAAAAATACATACTCCTTCCTGATTCTTAAAGGTTAACGATATGTTCATATGTAGCATCTACTTACGGTGATCTAAAACTTCATCTGTCACTGTTTTAACACCCATACTCTGTATTCTCCGTTGCTTACTTGTGTCCTCAGAACTTTTGGTGCTGACCCAGCTTGTCAATAGTTGTGCATGCAGTGGTAAACAGATTGATTGTAAGGAAGACAGCGCTAACATCTGGGAGATGGCAGAGCTTAGCAGAAGTCTCATCTTAAGTCCCGGCTCTGCCAATATGAAACAGCAGTAATAATCCCCATCTTGTGGGCTTACTTTAATAATGACATTCAAGGATCCAGAGAAATATATTAACCAGAAAAGACAGAAGGGACAATCCATATGGAAAGAACCGAGCCAGGCATGGGGGTATATGCCTACAATTACAGCATCTGGGAGGTTCAAGGCCAGCCCAGGCCACATAGTGAGGTCAAGCTAGCTTGGGAACTACAGTAAGATACTGACATAAAAAAAAATTTTTTAAGGAAGCACTGGAGAGATGGCTCAGCAGTTAAAAGCTCTTGCTGCTCAAGAATCCAGTTTCAATTCTCAGCATCCACAAGGCAGCTCTCAACTGTCTATAACTCCAGTTACAAGGGACCTGACACCCTCTTCTGGCTTCCACAGTAACAGGCACACATGTGGTACACAGACATACATGTAGGCAGAACACCCATATATACATAAATTAAATTTTAAAAAATTTAAAAGGAAAATAATAACCAAGTTTAATAATATGGAAATATTCATCCACAATCTAGCAAGTTTTCAGTTGATTAAGTATTACATGACTATAACATATTTAAAAATTTATGAAGAGCAGTATTATAAGTAGCACATGAAGAATAAACAGAAATTGTGTTAAAGAAATAAAGAATTTAATTAAAGAGGAAATAGATATTTAAATAAGCAAAAACTTTTTAATTGTGCATAGTTAAATGTAGTAAAATACAAAATTGAAGTAAGCAACAATAGCTGATAGTCTTCTATGAGTGTAATAAAAAGGGTTATGTTCTCCAGCCCTCATGTTCCTTGAGAACATACAACAACTGTTGTCTGTCTCTGTCAAAATCTCTTTTGGCATGTGGAAGATCTACTCTCCTTCCCCATTGGTGTCCCGTGTGGTCTCAGCAGGAACTCAGCTTGATCAGACACTAACCCAACACAGTTGTCTCATTCTATATCCACTGGGGATGATTGAGGAGCAGTCATGGGGATGAACACATCATTCATAGAGATCTTAGACTGTTGAAAGGAAAATGAGTCTCCTAGTGATGCTCTTTTATCAGCCATACCATGCCCAAAGGAATGCATGACTGAAGAATAAAGTCCACGTGAAGAACACAAAGAAGGCAAATCCAAGAGCAGACAAAGAAACCCAGTCCCAGGGTAACCAATTTTAGTTCTGAATCTATTCTGTTTGAAGCTGACATTATCCTGGGACCTTCACATCACTTGGGTTGGTGTATTTCCTTTGTTCTTCTGTTGGTTTGCATTGGAACGTCTGCTCTTTGCAACCGAGATGGAACAAGCTAGATTCTTATTATTATGACCCCCTCTAAGGGAATACAGAAGGCAGACACCTCCTCCCTAGAGGCCCTATCTATGCACGTGTGCTCTTCTCCTACCCCTTCTCTTAGAAAGCACAGAGTGAACTTTTATAAATGATGACTATGGACATGAGTTGTAAGCCTTGTCCCTGAAGTAAGCATCCACATGTTTGTGCTCAGCATCTTCTAGCAGCCTTCTACTATGCTAACAGTCAAAATAGTTCACGGGGCCTCTGTGACACAGAGGCTGCCTAACTCTCCGGGTAGCTTGGCAATCTTTTTTCTTTGGTCTTTGTATTTTTTGGAAAGGTAAAGTAGTGTGGTCCTGATCGTTAAATTGAGCTAAAATGTTATCACTTGGACTGGAATTTTGATTTTACCCACTTAGTATGTGGCACAGACAAATTCCACCACTCTTCAGTGACTCAGTAACTAGGATCTACTGCCCTGGCTTGTATAAAAGATAGAGGAGAGAAGAATAAAAATCAGTGCCTGGGAAACTACTCTATAGTTGTTGTAGCACAATATCTATACTGGCATTCCTACAGTATCTTAAAATATCCCATGCTCCACAGCCTTTGCATAATATTTCCTCAATTTGTCATCCTGTCCAGCCAGTCAATCCCTTATCTTCCTTTCGCAGTATGCATCTAGCTAGACTTATACATCCCTTGTGAAACCCCTCATCATTGCGGGACCACATTAATTGCCACTGCAATCACAGTGTGTAAGAGTTCTTTGTACGCGTAACCAACCATCCATTATTTACTACATGAATGAATGAGCCAATTACTAAAATACTTCATACACACTTACTGACTAAGGAATCAAATAGCTTTAACATCTCAGTATGTAAGCATTTAACCTGTAAAGAAACCAGTACCTCAGCTTTTCTTGACCTCACACTATTACCACGCCACTAGTAGGCCATGTGGTTCCTCCATGCAGAAACAGACAATCCCCACAGGCATGTAAACAGCTCCAGAGCATGGAGAGACACAGATGAAGTTATGTGAATTAGAAAAAGGACTTCCTTTCTTTTGGGAAATAAGAGTTCTATGGAAATCTAAGCTATTTCTGAATTTCTCCTATAAACAGTGCTGACATTTTCTCAATAATCCTTTACTATTTACTTACATGGTAAACACAGAACTGAAGCTACTGTCAAAGGGCATGTCCATCTGAGGCTCCCACACAAGCTGCTAAGCCCTTTCCAGAAAAAGTACGTGATTTCATATCGCCCTCGGCGACTTCCGGGTGTTTATCTCTCTCTACACTCGGCAACACTGCATGGCCTCAATTTTTTATCACAGTTCATTTTATGGTCATGCGGTGGCATTTTACAGATTCCTAGTTCTTAATTTAGTGAGGTTAAAATTATTTTTCTTGTTTCTGTTTAGTTTGTACCAACAAAACAGTGGTGCCTGTTTTCCTCACTGTTTTGTAAACACTCTAAAGGTAGACAAGACATGAATTTGTTTGTGCAATTTATCAACCATTTATACTTTCCTTCTTCCTTTCTTTCTTAGGCAGAAGTTCTATCTTTAATTGAGAAAGCAAACAGGTCCTGCTGTGGCTCCCATAGAGGTGCACTAACATTCAGGCCACAGGAGACATATAAGGCATGTGCTACCATGACTTAGAGAGTTGTGGCTGAGTTCCTAACTCTGCTCTCACATCACTGCAATGGGGGCCATTCAGGGTCATCGGTGGATAGGTGCTAAAATTCTTAAGAATTACTCCTTATGGTTTTATACACTTATTTATATTAGAACATTCATAATATCGCCAGTGTTTCATTTCTTCCCAGTTAATACAGTTACATGCATAATAACGTGGTCATATAATCTGTTTTCACTAATGATTTGTGAATAGTTTTTACGAAAACCTTGGTTAACTGGGAAACGTGGCTATCCTTCATTTTAAGTTCCTAAGCTGACTAGCAATCCTCTCCCTGGAGATCTGAGTCAGCAGGACAGGGAAAAGGCTGCTGGTCTGAAGGGATGCCGAAGGAGAGATGGGGCAAGAGCCAAGAGACACTTGGGAAGCCATAATGACGTGGCACCAGAGCATCGCCAGGATACTGAACCATGATTGAAAATGCAGCCAGGAGAAAAGTAAGGTACACATTCGCTGCAACTCTTCTCAGAGAAGTTCCAGGATGTAGGTTGGGAAAACACTAAGACACGCCATTTGGAATTGAGAGAGGAAGCCTGAGGAGCCTGCCTGAGACACAGAGGGTCACTAAAGAGCCTTCTAATGCATATAGGCTGGTAACTGTGTGGATGGATTCTGATGAGCATGTGCATTAGTGAAGTCGGTGTGGATTAGCTAGGGCAACAGAAGACAGACTGGGCTACCATCAGTATCGACCATACGCCTCTATCGTTCTCCAAGGCAGTTTGCTGTTTTTTCTCTGGATAGACATTTAAAACCAATCCAAGAACACCGAGTGCAATCTACCGCCTGCTCAGGGGCACATGTACCTTTTGCTGTGGCTTCTGTGGGCACATTTGGAGTAATAGAAAAGTGGCGTGAGCCGGCTGTGGGGAGAGATGAGGTCAGTGAGGAAGGAAAAGCTGGCAAGGCTCTTGAGAAGGGCCAAGACAAGAACTGAGTCAGAGAATTAGAGGGAGCTCACTCAAGAAGCCACAGAGGGATGAACTGGAGGGAAAAAGGCAAATATTAGGGAAGCATTTAGCAATTGCCTCAATGGAGACAGAGGAGGAACTAATGTTGCAATTTACAAAGGTCTTTGCATATATTTACTTACAGTTTTTTTTTTCAACTTCTAACTTTTTTTAATATTCTATTCTTAGCCTTTTCTTTCTCGGGCTAAATAATATTTTCATATAAATTTAACAGTTTGGTTTAGAAGCCAGTATCTGGACCTTACAAAGTTTTTCTCTCTCTAAAATGAGGTGCAGTGTAGAAAAGACTACATTGCTAACAGTTGCTTCCGGGTCACCTGGTGAGGTCTCCGCTGCTTTGCAATCCTCCACAAAAACACTACCATTTAATGTTTTTGATAGTAAATGTTTACTAATGGGACATAGACACAGTGTTAGGAAAAGTCAGCACCGAGTCAAAATCTTTGGCCAGATCTGCTGACCTACCTACACACTGCCACCAGATTAAGTTACTACAAAGCAAATACGTAATGTAGGCGATAGGCCTAAAGAGCTCTTGCCTCCTGATTGGCTGAAGCCAGCTTGTCTTCCAGCACTTGCTTTAGGTTTTCTAGCTCTAGTTGAAGCTGATTTTTATCCTCTTCCAGACTCAGTTTCTCCTTTTTATATTGTTCCTCCAATTCCTTAGAAAGAGAAAAAAATTAAAAATTAGTATGACTAAAGAACTATATATACTTTAAGATTCTAAGAAATGTAATCATGTTAATATTTTACTTTTTAAATTATCTCCCCTTATAAAAAATCACAGTTAACTGTGATACCATCTAATAACTAAATGGAGTAGATCAAATTATTCTGATATAGCCATTAGATAATGCTTTTAATCATGAGTGTGTGTCACTGGCCAACCTATCCTAGAGAATCAGAAAAGCATGATAGAAATGATAATTTGGCATGATAAAGCAAACAGTCTCTTGAGTTTTCCATTCTTTTATATTAAAATACAAAAATTCCTATAACTTTTGCGAATTCACTATTCAACCGTGGAACGTAGTTGGGAATTAACCAGAACAAAATGAAGATAACTGGATTGTAAAATCAGTTACAATGATATCTACTAAAGAACTTATCTATTTTCCAGGCATGCTACTTACGACCTGGGCCTCACAGACAACAAGATGTGGTATGAAGGCTGTCTTAATAGCCCATAGTACCAAATAAGGAACCACCTACTCATCAAAATTAGACATATAGAGAAGAGGGATCTAGGCAGGGAACTGATAAACTTTGAGAGAGAACTTTAGAAAGAATGCAATTCCTAAGTGTATAAATTGACACCATAACCACTCCACAGTATGGGTAAGGAGAAGGTTTTTATTTTAGTTGTAAGAGAGAGAACAGCCAGAGGCATCTGGAAGAGTCCAGGACACACAGAGAGAGAAGTAGGCTGAACATGGCCAGCTGACTGGGCATGGCCAGGGCTATCTGAGAGAGCGGGGAGAACAGCAGGGGAGAGAGAACAGAGAAAACATAGCAAGAGAAGCAGGGGCAGGTGGAACAGAGAGAGTGAACAGACCTGCAGGAGCAGAATAGCAGGGTTATAAGGAGAAGGAGTAGCTGGGAGAAGAGAATCTCAAGCTGGAGGGAGTTGAGTGTAGGGGAGGAGGTGAGAAGGGCTTGGACTCTGAAATGTGTAACAGGTCCTTGTGATACTGAAGGAGCCCGGGGGCCAGAATGAGCTTGGATATGCTGTAGGTACCACAGGTAGCCATGTGTCCCTTCTGCCAGAGGTAAGGGAAATGCTCCTTTTGGAAGAGGGGAATCAGCTTCACAAGTTCCTGAGCAATGCTAGCTTTTCTAGCTTTTGCTAGAAATCCTCCTTGAGTCCAGGCTGAGCTCATTTCTGGATATACTGCCTTTCAGAGTTTGGGGGATAGAGTTTCCTTTGGACCTGACACTAAGTAGAGTTTGGAGAGCACACCAGTTAAAAATAATGGCAGAGTAGAGGGGAACAGAGCATTCCAGGCAGAGGAAAAGGAATGTCTACACACACAGAGGTACACACACACACACACACACACACACACACACACACAGA